TGGTTGGAGAACATTTTGACAGGTGTCCTCAAAAGAGCAAAGACAGACATCATAGGACAAAAATAATGGTAAAGTACTAGGAAGAGAAGCAGTCATTGGGAGGAGCAGGATCTTCCCAGATCTTAAAGCTGCTTCTTGCATCTTAAAGGTGGATACCATTTGTTGTCCTCGTCTAGTCTGGGACTGACAGAGCAAAAGTTTGAAGAATGTAAAGAAGAGACAAGAGTGGTTTAAGGTGACACACAAAGTAGACACAAGCACGGTGGGAACAAAACAGGAAAAGAAATTTCAAACCGAACATTAGGCGACTACTCAAGCTGTCAATTTTATTGGACAGCTTAGTATTCTCTAAGGGAGGAAGTGGAAACTCCATTCGCTCAGCCATTTAGAAGTAGACGTGACTTTATTGTAGAGACTACCCTGTACTTTTAGAGTTGGAAGACACGCTAAAATTTAATAGCTCTGTTTTAATTCTAACTGAACAACTGTCTATTACAACTAACAACAACATCAACTATTGCTAGAGCTAACATAAGCTTAGACACTTGAATTACTTTCTCTCTTCTCTTTCTCATCTATTTTTCTGTCTCTCTCTAAGCATTATTGACAAAGAGTGAAGCAGCATGAAGTACGGGTGCAACATCAAAAAAAAAACCAAACAGATCATTTACCATTCCTCAAAAAAAAAAAAAAGGTTATGACAACCATTTATAAAGAGCAGTTTCGCTTACTGAACACAGCTTTTGCAGAAATAGACAGGCACACTTTCATGTACAGTCCCCGTCCCTCGTCACACCTGAATCATGCATGGGTTTTGACAGAGAATTACAACAGACGTGGTCTCCCCAGAAGGCTGTACCTCGTGGCTATTCCCGCTAACGCCAAAAGCCCCGTTGGCTGAAGCGGCTAAGCCTTGTCCAGCCAGTACTGCCAACCAGACCTGCCCCGCCAGAACCTGAAGCAGGACCAGGGGCACCAAGCCCTGCCCCCCCTTCACCCCCCCACCGGGTGCCACCGCATGGCACCACCAGCCATGGGATTTGCCAGCCCCTGCCAGGACTCCCTCTTTCCTCTGCTCTCCAAAGCTCTGTGTGTGCCTTTGTGTGCCTCTGCCTGCACCAGTGTGCCTGTCCGCCTTGGGAAAAAAGATTTTAGTGCCCAACAGAAACGACAGGAAGTTCAACTACCACTGACATACAGGAAGATGTTAATGCCTAAGACAAAATACCCAATGTTTTCTCAATAATTCCACTCACTGCAATAATTTATTGGTTTCTGACTGACAGTCCGACCATTTTGTGCACAAAGATGCTTTTGAAATTAAGTTATTGAAAATGGACTTTACCTTCTATCTCCTCCCTTTTCCTCCACCACAGTTCTAAAGATTATAACATACTTGTCAAACTAGGTGAGCCTCTCCTATTTGGCAGGATCAGATTAGCAGGTCTTTTAATCAGAAATTAAAATTAGAAAAGAAGCACATAATTAGTTTAGCACTGAGTGCTAAAAAGTATTGCCATACCCTTAAGAGGACAAGCTCTCTATTGCAGACATCAAGTACTTAGGCTATTAAGAAAATTAGTATCTTGCAGACATGAGGAACTCTAACTCTCTGACTCATTGTGTTTGGACTCCTCATAGCAAAAAGTATTTCTCCTGTGGAAGAAAGACTCCTAAGGATGTGCGATTAACTTAAGTCCATTCCTGACAGGAGAGTGCATCACAGCAGCCATTGCTTCTCTCTCTCTCTCTCTCTCTGTAAAATCACCCTGATACAGCATCAAAACCAACTGTCATTCCAAAGTGCGAGGACTATGAATTCAGTAGGTAGCAGGACAAGCAAGCGCAGATTGTACACAAGTCATTTCTTCTGTTTAACTACTCGGATATGTATTTTGATATTTAGAGAGAAACTTTTCTCGTCTTTCCAAAATTCCCAATGTAAGTAGGTCTTTCTTTTTAAACTAAAGCGAGTGTTAGAAGTGTGACCAGCTGGTCATACTAAATCCCACTTTCCCCTCACATTCAACTTGAACTGATACCATCAGCAGATGTGTAGGTTCATATGCTTATACGCGTGTTATATATTTTCTGTTCTTTCTGAAATCTTGAAGGTCCTAAATGTAATTTCCCTTCCTGGGTCCTGGGCTTTTTTTCGACTCAAGAATAAATTCCTCTCTATGGCAAAACAATCATCATGAGCTGCATTTTCCTTCATCTACAGCCTCTAGAACAAAAAAAAAAAAAGTGGTAAGAAGCCCTGGTGCAGTCATCTCTGTTCTTTATACAGACCTAAAATCTTCTCCATCTCCTTGATATTAACAGAGGCTTCCCAAAAGAGCATGTTCTGCACCGGAGGACAAATGAAGCACATCACCTCCTCCGCATTCCTCCTCTCAAACCAAGTAAGTGTCACATCGTCTGGGCTTTGGGATAAAAGTACAAAATTTTAAAAGTCATCTCATCTCACCCTGAACTCTCTTCCCAAATACAATTATGAATTTCTAAGCCAAACACCAGGGATACTTTTTTTTTTTTACTTTAATATACTGTGGGTCCATCAACTTTGACCACATTTGAAGGTACATTTTCTCCCCATTAGTTCTGTCTAGTCAAAGAAGCTCACGTAGCGATGACGCATCTCTTGCAGATAAGGGTATCCGCTGATTTGATTTACTAAGAGGGCTAAATTTATTATGCAACATTTTACAATTATAATTCTGCTTTCCCTTGATGGTAATAAATTCAATATCAGCTCCCCTGAGACAAGAGAACCAGTCCCTTTATTATCCAGGCATGACCCCTAGAGCCAGATTCCATTTTAGAGACGGGAAATGACCATATCTCTGATTAAAAGGGAAACTTTAATCAAATAAAGTGCCTCATCAAGCAAGAGCCAAGATTCCAATACTCCTGACTGCAGCACAGCAATGATCCAAAGTCATATCTGCCCCCGACCCATTACCGCTTACTGCAAACGTGATATCCATCCCAAACAGGAGGTGCATCCTTCAGCAGTTCCCTTATCATCCTGGGAGCTGCTCCTCCTACGCCCACAGTCCCTCGCAGAAACCTGTTCTGAAGCTGCTCCCCCAGGGTCTGTTTGAGGAACCAGAGGAGGATGGGCTTTGCAGGGTCTGTTGGTTTTTTTTCCCCAACTAAATCAGTCTTGCAGGTGACAAGTAGCCTGAACCATGTGGCCAACTGCAGCAGCCATGGCCTTCAGCTTAGTACCCTTCGAGCAAGACTCTTCTATTCTCTCAGGTACTTCCCTTCTACACTCTGAAATGATCTTTTGAAGCATTTAGGATACTAGCTTATGTAGAGTCCCAGGTCAAGAGCTTTGTCCCTATTGTCAGTGGTGTACTTCTGCAGTTTTACAGCGGGGGTAGCGAACGAATAACAAATAATGATAAAAATGACAATACAGCTGTCTAGGGTTATTGTTATTTTAAGTGTGCTTTAAGACTCCACTTCTGTGTAAGCACAATTGGATCTGTATGCCACTCCATGCAGGGATCCATCTTAAAGTCTTTCTGTCCATCTAGACAGTTTTCTTGCAACAGAGCGAGATACAGCAACTGACAGATAAATCATCTCCCTTTCAGCCACAGAAGCCCAGCGACGCAAGCAAATGAAGGCGCCCAAACTCCACATCTCCTCAGGAACCGCTCAGCTGAGAGATCCAGTCATTTCATACAGCCTTCTGCAGAGATCCTTCTTGGATCAGGCCGCATGTCGTTTCTGCTACAAGAGTAATGAATGGTATTTACCCTGTGCTTTATGCTAGTGAAGAAGTGTCTTCCTAATACCAAAGCCTCTGCACCGAGAGAGACCTCTCGCTCCGCAGGGCTTCCCGCTGCAGCCCTGGCCCGGCAAAATGCGGGAAGTACGTAATACCACCGCACTTCTAAGATTATTTCCCTGGCGTTTGTCTGAGCGGTAGGCACACAGGCAGCAGGAAGACGGTTGCTGCGTTGCCCTCCGCGTTCCAGCGCAGCTTCAGCGGTGTCCTAGGTGGGAGCGCTGTCCCCGGCGGGGCACCCACCCCCTGAGGAGGGGCAGGGCTCACCCCGGCCCCGTCTAGCCCCGTACCCGGTTAGCCCGGGTCTCCGCGGGCGCCCCCGCGCCCTG